AAAATTCCCAAGGATCCTACGAGTAAAATTAACAATAACTTGAGGCAACTGTTGGCAGGATGGAAAAAACAAAATTACATCTCTGAATTAATCTACAAACAACTCTATTGTAATGATGGTAACATTCCTAGGGTTTATGCGTTACCAAAAATTCACAAACTAAATTGCCCATTCAGAATCATCATATCCTCTTTGGATAGTGCATTGTACAATTTGGCAGCGTTCTTACATGATCTGATTGTGAAAAGCATTCCTAAAGCGACTAGTAACATTGAGAACAGTTTTGAATTAGCTCAAAAATTAAAAAACATTAAAATTGATCATGGGTTTATATTGATATCGTTGGACGTAATATCACTCTACACTAACACTCCAACAGATTTAGCAATAAATGCTCTTTCAAATAGATGAGACGTTATTTGCAAGAATTGTAATTTACCGAAAAACGAATTTATCAAAGCTGTTCGCCTAGTGTTGGATTCAACTTTTTTCACGTTTGACAATCGGTTTTACAAGCAGACTTTTGGAACGCCTGTGGGCTCACCGCTTTTTCCGTTTGTTGCTAATCTAGTTATGATGGATTTGGAGAATTGGGTGCTGAGTAATATTCAATATTATATACCATTCTATTATAGGTATGTAGACGACATCGTTCTTTGTTTACCGAATTCTAAAATTGATTCTATCCTTGAAGAATTCAATTCATTCCATCCAAGGTTACAATTCACCTTAGAAGTGGGTGGAAATTCTATTAATTTTTTTAGACACAACTATAATTTTAAAAAATAACTCATTAATATTTGATTGGTACCAAAAACCAACATTTTCGGGAAGAGTTTTGAATTTTTTGTCTCAGCATCCACAATCTCGCAAAAGAAGGGCATAATTTTTAATCTAGTAGATAAAATTTTTTATATCTCACATCCACAATTTCACAAAAAGAATCTAGAATTGATTATTAGGATACTATTAGAAAACGACTATCCATTAAATTTTATATTCGATACTATCAATGAAAGAATAAAAACGTTAATAAATAAATTGAATTTTGGTGCAGCTAATAAAAAAACAAATAACAATTTAACTAAAGAACGCGTTAAATGGTTCTCCATACCATATTTGGAAGAGATATCGAAAAAATTCAAGAATGCAATTAATGGTGTTTGCCATAGAGTTTCATTTTTTAGTTTGAACAGGTTGAATCGCTTTATTAAAGTTCATAAAGATTCTTTAAACAATGAACTAAAAAGGAATGTGGTATACAAGATCAACTGTCGTGATTGCGATGCTTCCTATGTGGGACAA